CAGACGTGCCTCCACCATCCCTCCTATTCTAACCCCAACTGTCCCTCCCCCGCAACTCTACTTCTGTGACGATATCTGAAAATTCATTGCAAGGCCATACAGAACTCACAGTTGATGCTCATGATTGGGAGGTTTACTGAGAAAGTTAAAGGGTTACAAATGCTCAGGAGACAGTTGTGCAGTCAGGACAGTTTCTTGTCTGCTGTGCCCAGAGGCAGGCCCCCCCTTGGACCCTCACTTGTCCTAGCCTCTGTCCTGCTCAGGCAGTGTTAAGGAGCTCGGTGAGAACTGCCAATAAATGCTGAAAAGGCAAGCCATTCTCCCATAACACCATAAGCCTCAGCCTGAATGCATTGGACTCCAGCTCTGTATCGGCAAACCTAGCTGCCCCAATTAAGTGCCCAGAGGCACCCTACTCCACAAGCCAGCCTCCTGCCCCAAACCATTCAGCTTTCCTTGCTCTGTGAGCTGGGAAATCCACTGCTGTGTATCATGTTCTGGCTCCTGATTCTGCTACAGCCATTCTTCTGCTGCTCCTCTGGTGTCAGAGCTATCTCCTGAATCACAAAGGTGATCCTTTCAGGGGCCAAAGGACACACTCTGTTCTTCTTTGGCTCCTTCCAGGGGCCAAAGGACACACTCTGTTCTTCTTTGGCTCCTTCCAGGGCCAAAGGACACACTCTGTAGCTTTAGGTAAGCGAAATCACCTCCGGGGGTTTTCTGACCCCGCGACTGTCATCTTGCTGCAGAACGAAGAAGCTGGGCTGTGCCAAGACACAAGACAAGAAGGGTGGGAGAGCTTATGTGTCTTGAGATATACAACACCACCTTGTGTTCTTCCACGGGGAGTGTTCTTGACCTCTTTCCTTTCTGGTAGCTTCCAGAGACGCTTGCTATGAAAGACCTTCTGCTATGGAATCCCCTCCCCTGCATGCAGTGTCTAGGCTTCAGCCCCAACAGACAGCTTGTGGTGGAAGGCTGCCATGGGGGGAGCATAAGCTTGTTTGTGATCAGCTCCAACCGCCCCCAAACACACTGCAGAGGTTTAGTATCTAATAAAGGATGCATTCTGTGTTCATTACTTTCCTTCCCTCACAAGTATATTTTCTCTCTTATTTATTCCATGGTTGTACATTTTACATCCATCACAGGGAAGCTAAACGCCAAAAGATACATCCCAAACTACACCTTATCGCCTAAAAGTATTGATACATGTTAAAGTGGAACCTTCCAAATTCTAAAGTGTTTCGGCTAATTTTGATTTAAGTAGAACGCTGACTTTCAAAATCTCTTGTCTGAGACTTTTGGTCACACATATACATAGTTTCCATGCCAAGGTGTCTTCTGAGCGTTATATAATTATTATCACATGTAATCTTCATTATTATTTCAATAAGGTAGACACTGTCGTTACTCTGCTTTTATCTGTAGATGTTTTTCCTTTTTACCATTGTTGCAACAAATGGTTGTGTAACTTGCCCGAGGTCACAGCTAGCCATTATTTGAACCCAGATTTAACTCCTTGCAATCTGGCTCTTGAGTCTCCTACACGGCGCTCTGTTGCCGATCACATAGCCCACAGGTACGCCTCCACACACACAATCATTCCTCCCATCTCTATAAAAACTAAACTAAAAGTTTCACTAAAATACCCAAACCAATACTCCAGATCTTTTCTACAGAAATTCTCTAAGAATGCCCTACTCTTTTTATTTCTTAACGTTGATCGCCAGCCTCTGTTTTTTCTCCAGTGCCTTGATGTCAGCTAATACTTCTTCCTAGAAGTTTCATGGAAGCCTCCACCACAGCTGTGACCCTGCTTGATATTTAAAATGCTGGTGACATAGCTTTCAGCATCCTAGGAACACACAAGCCACCACACTACAACATACTGACACACAGGGAGTGGTAACCGCCTTTGCATTTTTAAAAACAGGATATAATAGAATGTAGAAGATTCAGAGTGTCAATATATCTGGAAGTCAAAAGATATGAAAGCAAACACACACAAATATTACATTGCCGTATAAATAATTTCCTTATGTAGATGCTGAGTAAACAAGTTTAATATTAAGCATGTGTCTAGCCCCAGTTTCTCTTTTATTTGTGGAAATTTTTAAAAGTCAACATAACTGATTTGTTCATTTATTAAATAGGGTTAGAAATATTTTCTTTCCTACTTGTCCAGGAAGGTTTTAACAATAAAAATAAGGTAATAGGGTTGGAGGGAAAAAAACTTAGGAGACTCCACATTTTCTTTACAAATGTTGGTGCTATTTCTTTATTGAAGACCTAGATTTGGAGGCTGCTGGGGAAATATAGTTACAACAAAACCGGGTCCAATCCAAAAACCCTCCCCACCAAAGTAGAAAAGAAAGAAAACTGCTTTATGATTGAATAAACATTGAACCAGAATAATTAAAGGGCTAATCCCTAAAGAGATTGAAATAACCCAGAAAGTGGATTTCATTTATGTTTTCAAGGTAAAGTGGCTAATTGTCCCATCCCTTCATGGCAGAGAATGGACTTGTCACTTGACGTAGGGGCCGCCTGAAGTCACTCACATTCATGTTCTTCCAGAAAACCAATAGGTAGAAAAGAGACTTTCCTTGATGATTGCACTGCAAGAGTGAAGTCCAGATTTAAATAGCTCTCAAAGAGAGCAAGAAAAAATGAACAATTTTCTAAAACAAATGCTGGATTTGTGTGTGGGATGGGGTGGGGTGGGGTGGGGTGAGGTGGGTATGAGGGTTGAGGAAGGACAGCAATCTCTTCTTTTTCATTTGTATTTGCCCTTATAGGAATGATATAGAAAAAGTTGGAGATAATATTTAGAATTAAAGAAACTCTAAATGCCATCTATGTTTGTGGACCGTCTCTAACCCATTGTATGACTATTAAGGAAGAGGGAGGAGAGACTATGACTATTAGTTGGGAAACAGTGGCATCATCAGGGTTGGCATTACCCAGTGAGGCAACTCATGGTGCTGCCGCACCCCACTGACCTCCTCCGCCTCTGTTACCAAACCATACCTAATCTTTCGTTGTATGTGTTGCTCTAATGTAACTTGTAAATCATACTGCCCATACATCATGGCAATAGCAGTGGAAGAAGTAACTAGCAAAATTAAAATCAAACCGTCCAATGACAGACAATAACACATGCCGCATGAAAGCAAGGCTTGGAGTGTTGACTGTCATTGGAGAATGATGCATCATGGTTGTTGGATAACAATGACAGCTCTGACTGGAGCTCACTGGAAGGTGCGAGTGTACCTTTGCGTTGTTTTAATCTTTGTTGGTTTCTTGATATGTGTAAGCTAGACTTACTAAAAATGTTTTATTGTTATGACTAACTCTACAGAGATTTTTAAGACGAGAGAATAAATTACAGCTGAAAGATGGCAGATTTTTAGAGAGGCACTGTGGTGTCCCACTCTTCTGAGTGTGACCCCATGAGGTCCACACCCTTCCCATTCCCTGCCTCCCCTTAGTGACACCTTTGTTATGAATTTCCAATTCTGTGAACTTCGACTCTTGATTTGAAAAGTTGACCACCATGACGCGTATTTCTTCTCAAGCCCTGGAGGGTCAAGCCCAAATTCAATTACTACTGCCCGGGGAAATAGAAACAAAATCTACTCCTAGCCTCAATACCTTGAAAATAATAAAAAAAAATTTAATTAAGAGAAAGAAAACATCATTAGGCGAGAATGTGATGATCACAGGCAAGCCCTTAAAGCTGTGGTTCTCACCCTGTGGGTCATGACCCCTTTGGGGGTCCAATGATCCTTTCACAGGGGTCACCTGGTTCATAACAGTAGCAAAATTGCAGTTATGAAGTGGCAACGAAAATAACTTTATGGTTGGGGGAGTCTGGCATTAGGAAGATTAGGAACCACTACAAGAGACTGAAGACATACGTTAGTCTTACATTTGACTGACTGGAGACAAATCATTAGATTTCTGTTTTCCAGAAATATATTAATTTCTTGTACTTTTATGAGTGGAGGTAGATTTGCAATCTGGGGTCCAGATAACCCTCCTTCAAAGGAGAAGGAAGGTCCAGCAGGACTTTCCAGGAGTCGTATTTCAAAAAGGTGATGGTTTACAATCTTTCCAAATAATTTTTTTCTCACCCACAGCAACCCTATAGGAATGCCCCTGTGGGTTTGTTTCCAAGACTAACTCTTTACAGGACAGGCAACCTCATCTTTCACAGGGAAAGGACTGCTTGTTTCCAACTGATGATATTGCAGTTGGCAGCTCACTGCGCCAAAAATTACCTGGGTTATCTTTAAGCCAATGTTATTCTTGTTATCATTCATGTGGAGGCAGTAATCTGTGAACCCTCACATATGGCTAGGAGTTCGTAGCGATATGGATGTCAACTGTAGCGATATGGATGTCAACTGTACTCCATGTTTTTCTACAAAATCTAGTAAATTAAAAGAAAAAAGAGGCATGGCAAAATGTTTATCCAAATATATCGTTCTTCCTTTTGGAAGCAACTCTCCTTAATGTGATCAGATCAGATTTGGTTTTGGGTCTCCTCCAGAAATTGTGTCTAATGCGGACAACGAGTGTTTCTCAGCAGGGAGCACACAGCAGCTGGCCGCTCGCGATCCTTTAAGCAAGAAGCCGCATTTGCATTGTCTATCCAGAGGTCCCCAACCGCCGGTTTCAAAAAAGAATAAGCCTCCGGACTGGGGAATCTTGGCTATCCTTGAGGGTGACGGGAATTGATGACGTTGGGGAACTTCAGTGTGCATCCTTTCACGAGAACAGGAGAAAAAGTATGTAAAAGACGGTCTTGGCCCAAACATCATTGGCTCTCAGCCAAAGAGAAGTAGGAAGCTGGGCGCGGGTCTGGAGTTTGTCCCTCCCAGCTGGCTGAGCTAGCAAGCTGTCCCCGGGTGGCTCGGGCCAATGGCAGGGGACCTCACGAAGCCCAGCCCCGCGGAAGGAGCGGTCGCGGCTTGTTGGTTTCTCTTTGGTGCTGGAGCTCAGCTCTGCTGGAGCATTTACTCCGGGTCCTTGAAACCAGCCAGCCCCCAAGCGATTCCGGGGAACTGTAAGGGGTCGAGTACCCAACAAAATGCTGAAACTCCTGCTAGACTGCCTTCTGCTTCTACCTTTCCTCATCCTCTTCACCTTGGAATCTTTCGTAAAGCTTTTTATTCCTAAAAAGAGGAAATCGGTCGCCGGAGAAATCGTCCTGATCACGGGAGCTGGACATGGAATTGGGAGACTGACTGCCTATGAATTTGCCAAACGTAAAAGCAAACTGGTCCTGTGGGATATAAATAAGGTAATCGGATTCCCTTTGTTTTGCTTTCCGGTACCTTTAATTCGTGCACACTTCCACGTTTTGCAAGAAATTCTCTGGGGAGGACGCAGAAAAATTACTACTGTCCTCTAACATTGGGTGTCAATTAGTTAACATGTTTGTGATCAGCCAATGAGAGCCGATAACCACCCACTTACTGCCCCCATTATTCTTTGATATTGCAAATTTAGCCTCACTTTTTATCGCCAAGCTGTAATCACAGATCCCTCTGTTGTCAGCACCTGGGGAAAGTATTGTTTTAGCTTGTACCTCTTAAAAAGTCTGACCATTGTTGGTATAAGTGTCAGTAAAAGATTATGCCTGATACCTGATCCCATCGAAAGAAACCACATGATCACACAGGCTGCTGTGCTTCTTCCATGTGGGCTTTGTTGTTTCTCAGCTCAGTGGCCCCTTGTTTAACTTCAAGCCTTTAAGACCCCAGATGCTCTATCTTTGGATAGCCTGGCACCATCAGTTTTCTTCACCACATTTGTTTATGCACCCGCTTTGTCTTAAGCGATCGTGTTGGGAAGGTGAGCATCATGGAATGCCAAGTTAGTAGAACAAACTGTTCTTGTGTTGAGGGAGTACTTGAGTGGAGGCCCAATGTCCATCTGCTACCTTAATACTAACCCTATAAATATATGTATGTAGATCTATTTCCTTATCGTCATATCTAAATATATTTACATATGTACATGCCTGTATTTGGACCTCTATAAATGCCCTTTGCTTCCTAGTTCTTTCCTCTATTTCCTTTTATTTTCCGCTTGTCCCACTATCAAGTTTAGCCTTCATTTAGGTTTCAGGAATTCCTCTTGGTTACATTGCCTTTGATCAAGCCCTACCAGGCCTCCTACACCCTCCTCCCCATCGATTTTAGATCTCCTGTTGTTCCCTCCTCCCTGGGTTTATTAACACCCACTTCCTTTCCCCCACCTCCCCCACATCTCCCCAGAATAGTCAGTCCCATTGATTTCTCCTCCAGATTGTTTATCCAGCCTGATCTAGATAGACCTGCAGAGATAATAATATGCACAAAAAACAAGACAGAGCCAAACAAAGCAACAAAATAAAATAAAACAACAACAAACCAGCGACAAAAAAAAAAAGCCTATAAAGTAGTTCAAGGTCTGTTTGTTGACCTTTAGGACTGTTTTTCAGTTGAGTCTGATGGGGAGCCACACCCTGACCCCAAAGTCTATTTTTGGTATTCCCTCTGCTCCTCTTGCTGTTCTGTTGCATGGCCTAAATCATATCATTTTGAATGAGGGGGGAGTGTAGAGTGGAGACCCAAAGCCCATCTGTAGGCAACAGGACATCCCCTTACGGAAGGGTCTCGGGGAGGAGACAAGCTAGTCAGTGTGCAGTATACCACTGGTGAAACGTACAACTTTCCTCTAGTTCTTTAATCCGCCCCTACTATCATGATCCCAATTCTACCTTACAAATCAGGCTAGACCAGAGGATGTACACTGGTACAGATAAGAGCTGAAACAGAGGGAATCCAGGACAGATTGGCCCTCGGACCAATAATGAGAGTAGCAATACCAGGAGGGTAAGGGAAAGGTGAGGGGAGAAAGGGGGAACTGATCACATTGATCTACATATAACC